ACATATCAGTCATTTTAAATCCTATTTCTGATCATTCCAACATGTGTGTCATATCTGGGTCTGATGCTTGGTTTGCTCCTTTTTAAAAAATATATATTTTTTATTCAATTTTTACAGAGATAAAGGGAGAGGGATAATTAAAAATATCGATGAAAGAGAAACATCGATAAGCTGCCTCCTGAACAGCCCCTACTGGGGATATGCCCACAACCAAGGTACATGCCCTTGAACAGAATCGAACCTGGAACCCTTCAGTAATCAGGCCGATGCTCTATCCACTGAGCCAAACCGGTTAGGGCACTCCTTTTTTTTTCCCCCTTGCCCTTTATCATGCTGTGTATTTTTCTTGTTAAAAGCACAATATGATGTATCAGATAAGAGAAACTAAGGCAAACGCCATAAGTGTAAAGTTTCATCTCAGTCTGGCTAGGGTTGGGCTGCAAATGTTTGTGATAGCTATGGATGCTGGAGGATTCAAATGCCTCCAGTATCTTTGTTTTGCTCTCCCATTTTCTTTGCCCTTCCCTAGAAACTGCTCCTACATAAAGTCTGTTTCTCTTGAAGCCTTTTAAGCTTTAATCTATCTTTATTATCTTGAAACCCTGTTGGTGTGGTAGTAAGGCATTCAGGGGAAGTATTTCATATTTTTATAATCAAAGTTCAGATTTATAGTGGATCTATGTCATAGGTATTTCTTAGCTGCATCCCACCGTTAGAAAAGATAGATGGGCCAGAGGGGCTAAAGTTGAGGAAATGTCCTGGCCCCAGGTGAATTGAGCTCTGGTAAACTATTTTTTCTCCAAAAGTATGACTTTTTAAAAAACAGTTTGGGAATATTTCAGAATGGTTACTGTACCAGAACAAAAAGGGAAACTTTCTTCGCTCTTCACTATAAGAAAATGATGAGGTTACTGGAGGTAAATTCCCCAAAAGAAAAAAGTGTTTGCATAGGATTTTGGTAGCATGCTATATTTTTGCAGTTTTTGCAAACCAGCAGAGTTCTTCATGTTCCACGGGTACAGTGCTAATTTAAAACTGCTGGTACCAAGCTTAGGTGGGCAGCACTAAACTGAGTTTCTAAATTCATTCTCCATTACAGACTAAGGAGAAACTGTAGACAAATCTGAATTCATGTAGATTGACAAAGGCCATAAATGTTTAAAATACTAAAATAATTACTAGTTGAATTTTCTGATGATACAGTTCATTGTAGATAGAGGTTTATATTTTGCTTGTACCCTGAAAAATAATAATTCTATCCCACAAATATGAGGAAGTAAGACTCTAAAGAAAAGCAGAGCAAAGGAGAGCCAGACAGCACAGTAAATTGAGTCCAGTTCTGTATGGGAAAATATCTAATGGCTAGAATTATCCACTCTGAAAAGATGCAAGTGGATGCGATTTGTTTCATAGGAGATGCTTTTATCAAGTTCCAAACTTTAAAAAAAAAAAACTTAAGAATACTTTAAATAAATCAAATAACAATATAGATAGAAGTGAGGAAAAAGTAGTGACTAGAAAGAGGCATAAGAGATGGGTGCTGGTAAAGCTCAGTTTCTTGATTTGGGTTCTGGTTATATGTTTGTGTCCAGTTTGTAAAACTTTATTAAGTTATACCCTTAAGATATGCATACTTTTTTGCATGTAGATTTTTTTAATTTAAAAAGTATGAATAAGAACCATCAGAAAACATAAATAATAAAAAACAGAACTTTTGCTCATTTAAATATAATATCATATTATAATATATTTAAATGAGCAAAGTGATAAACTAATTATTCTTACTATGTTTTAATTTTAAACCTTCAAAATATCTACAATGTGTTCCCACCTCATCATATTCATGCCCTTATACAGTCCCTTTCTCTATGTGTGGGCTAGACCCATGGTTGGCAAACTGTGGCTTGCGAGCCACATGCGGCTCTTTGGCCCCTTAAGTGTGGCTCTTCCACAAAATACCACAGCCTGGGCAAGTCTATTTTGAAGAAGTGGCATTAGAAGAAGTTTAAGTTTAAAAAATTTGGTTCTCATAAGAAATTTCAATCATTGTACTGTTGATATTTGGCTCTGTTTACTAATGAGTTTGCCAACTACTGGGCTAGACCTAATGAATAGAACATGTAAATGTGATGAAATGTCACTTCCTAGATATAGTTGTAAAGACACTTTAACTATTATCTCTCTTTCTCTCTCAGCCCTTACTCTGGAAAAAATGAGCAGAGCCCCTGCATTATGAGTAGCCCTGTAGAAAGGCCATGTGGCAAGAAACTCATTTTTCTAGTCAACAAACAGCAAGCAGCTGGAACAGTAAATAACCAGGTGAGTGAGCTTGGAAGCATAACCCACTCACTTGGTCAAGCTTAAAATGATTGCAACACTGGCCAATAACTTGATTCTAGCTTTCTGAGAGACCCAGACAGAGGTGTCTACCTAAGCCACAACTGGATTCCTGATCCACAGAAAACATGAGATAATAACTATTTGTTATTTTAAACCATTACATTTTTAAATTATTTCTTATGCAGCAATAAATAACTTAAACATGTGGGGAAAAGAAAACTGCACAAAATGACCTAGCATATTTAATAAGTAAATGAATGCAAACTCTAAAAATTAAAAAAATGCAATAAAATGGAAAATTCAACTTAATAGATTTAACAGCAAATTAGATATAGTTGGAAAGAAAATTAGCAAAGTGGAAAGGAAAGAAAACCAAAGCAATTACCAGAATACAATCCAAACAGACAAATAATGAAAATAAGTTATGGAAGATATTACAGTCAGTGATTGAATATTCTCATACTTTCAAAAGTAGGTTATTGAAATAAAATAGACATTTTATGAGTAAATTAATAATATGTGGTGTTGACTGACTACATGATATAAACTTTCTGGATTATGTCTAGATTCTCCATTTTCCTATAAAATACTGACATCCAGCATGAGGCTACTAATACTTGAAACATGGTTTCTAATTTCCAGAGAATTTATTGGCTAATGATCAAGAGGAGAGAAACTACCATTTGTTGATCGCCAAACATATGCTTTTAACTAATCTAGGTACTTTATAGAGATAAGCATATTTATTCCTCACAATGGCCTATGGGGTGAATACAATTACTCTCTTTGTACAGATAGACAAGCATGTCCCAAATGTCAGAGTCTAAGATTTTATACTTCTACAAAAGGACAATTCCAGAACTATCAAAGTTTCCTTGAGTTAAATGAACTCAAAGTTTGCAAGGAGTATTATTTTTTAACAGATTCAGTACCATACTTGTCAAAATTGGACTTTCTGCTTATGCCAATCATCACTTTTTTTGTTGTTGCTGGATTGTGAAGAATTTGTTTTGGGAAAGTCTTTGATGATAGTAGGGACAATAAGGAAACTCTAAAAAGCATATATTTACTAACTGTGTGAAGCATTTCAATAACATAACAAATACTATAACAACTGACACCACTGGTACCATTGTCAACATGCTGAAAAATAAATCTGTGGATTCTTTAAGAATCCAAATCTACGAGTATACAGAAACATAATCAAGGCTAATCACAGAAGCTATGTGACTGAATAAGCAGTATATGGGTGAAATATGCCCATTTTAGTTATCAGTGATTGGCTATGACTGTTTCAATCTTAATTCAGCTAAACAGAAGATGTAAGTCGGTGCCTTTCAAATTTTCAGCCCAGTCTCCCTAGAATGTGTTAATAGGCTTCTCAATCCCATACAGACTCTTTGGTGAGCTACTTCATGCTAATAACTATCATACGTAGAGTCTTGGTGATGGTCTTAAAAAACATTTAGACTAGGTAAGAAGAAAAAATATTAGTGTATTTAATAACCATCAATTAGAAGGTGACTTGCATTATTAAATGTGCACACATTGGACTACTCATCAGCGTAGTAGATAGATCTCAGCATGTGGCAGGTTTTATGGCATACCATATAAATCATAGATTTTAATGATTTACTGGAATAGTATTATACAATTTAATATGTTTAGCTCCGGTCCTTAATAAGTGATATAAAAAATTATTTTTAAAGCACCATATTTCTTGCTCTCTCTTTTCTCCTTCTGGCTCCCCCATGATGCGAGTATTGGTATACTTGAAGTCGTGATAGTATAATTCACACTATACTCATTTGGGGGGATTCTAATGCCATATAGTTCAGTTCCTTCCACAAGTTCCTGGAGTCTTTTGAGCTTCTGTGGTGGTGCAGGAACTCAGAAGGAATGTGCCAAAATGTGTGCACAGGCCCCTTAAGAGAAACTGCTTGAGACTCCCAAAGCCCTCCATCTCACTCAGCCATACTCCCCACTGGTTTTTATAGTCAGAAATGATGGGGACTTCTCTTCCTGGAACTAAAACCCTGAGTTGGGAGACTCAGTAAAGGTCTGGGTCCCCTTACTCCTTAGGAGACCTCCATATCCAAGATATTCTTCCTGATATGTATCATCATACTTGGGTGTGGGACCAGCCCATTCAGCATCTCCATGCCTCCTACCTATATCAGTGTGGCTGCTTCTTTATATCGTAGTTGCAGGACTTTAGCTAGATTTCAGGTGGTTCCAAATAATGGCTGTTCTATAGTTTAGTTATAATTTTAATGTGGCTGTGGGAGGATTCAAGTACCGCATTTACCTATGCCGCCATCTTGACCAGAACTGATATGATACCGATTTATTAAATTAAAACGTATTCACACACACTCAATAATTCTTTTTATAAAAATTTCATGGGCAGTCATTTTGCTTTCCCTTGACATTAATAAAAAAAGTATCACATTTCTTCCTCAATAGGCTCCTTCCAACTTAAGTGGGTAGAAAATATCTCTACTGTGACAAAGGTTTCATGTTCTACCCAAAGGAAAATGAATTGTCAAAATGTCAACAGCCCTAGTTATCCCACAGATAACTCATGTTTTAATAACAGAAACTTGTATTTGGAGTAGTTGGAAAATAAAACTCAGAATTGGCATTTGGGGGCTACTCACCTCTCTTGGCTTACAGTTGTAATAGCGATGCTGGGAAGGGTTGTCAAAGGCAGCGTGGTTGGTCTGGAAATACCATCGCTCTCAGGAGTCCTTGCCCTTTCACTCTGCCTCTGGGACAGTGGTGGTAACTGCAGGTTTCCCGAGCAACACCGTCTCCCTCTCCAGAGGTCAATCCCAAGTGTGTTACTAGAACTGTAGGATTTACTCAAGGAACATTCAAAATAATCTTTAACATTCTGGAGGATCCACAGGGAAAGAGAGAGAGAGAAAAAAAAAGAAAAAAGAAAAATCAAATGTTAAAAATGATGCATAGGGGAGTAAAATAAGAAACTAAATGATCAAGTTGTCACTCATAAAGTCCTGATTCATTATCTCACAATCAGAATCTAACATTGATGTCAAAAGCTTAACAGAAAACAAGAGAGGAGGAGGTTAAGCCTCAAGGTTTAGAATAATAGATCAGTTGCCTATTCATGGTGATCTTTAGGACTATACGTAATATTTCCCATTTATGTGGAAATTCTGAGATGTTTCTTTCTTTTGCTTTGTAGTTGCCTTATATTTGCTAAAATGAAAGCTTATAATTGAAAAAAATAGGAAATTAATGAGATTCCACAACATGGGAACATTCTTTCCTGGCTAATTATAAAGTTTCTAGCTTAGTGTTTTAAAGTAAAAATATTTTCTATCATAGGATAGCAAGATGGAATAATTACAAAATTATGGCTGACTACTATTTTTATTCCAATAGAAGTTCTTCTCAGGGTTGAGGTATTTTGTTTTTGTTTTTTTATTGCACTCATTATATAAGCTGAAAGAGAGAGAGAGAGAGAGAGAGAGAGAGAGAGAGAGAGAGAGAGAGAGAGAGAGAGAAGTATAATTAATCAAGTTCTGAGCTGGATTGCAATGTTCAATACTTGCCTTAATGCTGACATAAATGAAATCTTTGTGAGAAGATAAAAGCACTGTCCTATAACCAATGATTACAGTTATTTATTCTTCCTACATATCTTTTGGTGACTGTGGTTCCTGGTACTGTTGGGAGTGGGGATCCCAAATAAGTTATTGCCTGGTTTACATCCAAACCAGCCCAAAGACAGAAAATGTTACAGCACCTCAAATGGCCACTGATAGCAACTTGGAGTTTGAAATATATAATTGTCATTCTCTACTCTTATCTTAACAGGGAATAATGGAAGTCCTACCACCAGGCCAAGGTCTCTCACCTGAAAATCAGTATATGCCTTTAAAAAAAGCAGATACTTCCTACTAGCCCTTCCAAATAGACTTAGGAGACCTAACACTAGATGTCCTGAGGTTTAAACAAACAAACTTATCTTCCCCCGATCCTCAACCCACCTGGTTTACACACGAATAATTAACTCACCTTTAAGCATTTAACTGTGTTCATTTAACAAATATTTGTTGCACACCTATTATAGTTTTGCACTGTGCTATTTAAGAAAGCTATATCAAAAAACGGTGTAGTAAATGTTCTCATAGAGGTTACATTCTAGCAATTTATACATTCTGATCTGCATAGGACATTTTGCTGATGGAAACATAGGCAAGAATAGGCCTGACAATTTGCAGGGGCCTCACTCACCCTGCAAAAATGGAATAGACTAGTAATCATATTTTCTTGTGTTTGGAATACAATAATGGTTTTGGAATACAATTTATTTGAGATTCCATAGAAACATACTTTGGTAACAGGAAGAAAACAAAACAATCTAGAATTTCCTGCAGTTTGAAATATTCTGAAATGTATTCAGTGCTTTACTGTTCAATAACTGGTTGTTATATTAAATGCACATTAAACCTAGCATTCACTGTAGTTAGCGTGTGTGTGTATGTGTATGTGTGTCTGACAAATAAGGGGCTGAGGTGAAACGTAAAAGAATTAAGTTTCTTTCTCAAAAAAACGTTTATACTAGTTAAGACCAAATATACAGTCTTAAAGAGAGATTTAAAAACAAAATAAAATTCAGAACTCATCATTATGAATCAGTCTAGCTCCAAATTTGCATGTAAAGAAAATACTGATTATCTGGAAAGCAAAGTCTTAAGACTATACTTTCCCTTCTATGCAAGAAATACTGTACCAGAGAACAGAAACAGGTATATCATTAAGTTAAACATCAACAATCATAGTCTCCCAATAAATTGAATATTTTTTTCTCTTTTAGAAAATGGGAATATTACCAACTAGGTTTAATAGTATAGTAAATGAACTGGGTACTTATTTGATATATGTTATTTGAAAAGTAACAAAGTCACACCTAACATAAAATATCTTCCCCACTGATTTGCCTACAGGCTTGAATTTACAGATTTTAAAGTCATACTTTGAGTTAAAAGAATGTGTTTGAAAAGATTTTAGCTAACATGAAAATACAGTACCGCAAAAGATCATAATGGGAAAAAGCTTTTTAGAAATTAAGTTAAATACTGTAAACATTAACAGTGTTTTACAAATGCTAATTAGCCCATGTAGAGTTTTTCATAATTTCCTAAAGCTTTCTAATTTATGCTTATAATTTATACAGTACTAATATTCTCAAAGCCAAAATCTAATTCCATTCATTTTCAACTATTGAACTTATAACCTAGGACTTACTTTCTTGTAACCAGCACAGCTTTAGCTGACTCTAAACCACTCATCCCATCACAGATTTTGAGGGCAAGGAACATTCATTTGAGTGTGTCCTTTGGAAATCACAAATTTTAAAATGGATCACACTGACCAAAATTAACTTATGTCTTTATAATCCCAGTTTTGGATCATCTTCGTCTTCTTGGATAATCCTTGTTTAAAAATCAGTATTTTTGCTACTGTAATTCCAAAAAGAGCTAAGGTGAAATCCTGCACTTTGGTAGGAAAAGTTTGGAGGAAGGAAGAAAGAGGATGCCAAAAGGATTCTTTGTCCTATCCCCATATCAAAACTTACCTTAATGTCGGGACCACTAAAGTGTCCAGATGAGGCATCGGTGCCTAAGTAGTCAAGGCTTTGTTGTTCCTGCTGTTGTTTGACTTTTGTTCAGTCATTTTTAGAGCTTGCTCTAATTTTTGAATTTTTATGATTAAACTCATGGTGAGAAAATGAGATTAGGTATTTCTAAGGATATATAATGTGCTCATGTACACATTCCATTTGTTTTTCTTTTTTGTTTTGTTTTGTTTTTAATATATTTTATAGATTTTTTTACCCCCCCCTCTCCCATACATACCCTCCCTCCCCAGAGTTTTATGTCTATTGGTTGTACTTATATTCATGTATACAAGTCCTTCAGTTGATCTATTATCTCCCCCAAATCTCCCTCCCCTCCCCTCTGTAATATGACAGTCTGCTTGTTGCTTTACTGTCTCTATATCTATTTTTTGGTTCATCAGTTTATAATGTTCTTTATTATCCTTAAATGAGTGAGGTCATGTGGTGTTTCTCTTTCATTGATTGGCTTATTTCACTCAGCATGATGTTCTCCATTTCCATCCAGGTTGCTGCAAATGATGAGAATTCCTTCTTTTTTACGGCAGCATAGTATTCCATTGTGTAGATGTACCAAAGTTTTTGGATCCAATCATCTGCTGACGGGCACCTAGGCTGTTTCCAAATTCTGGCTATTGTAGATTGTGCTGCTATGAACATAGGGGTGCATATATCCTTTCTGATTGATGTTTCTAGTTTCTTGGGATATATTCCTAGGAGTGGGATTACTGGGTCAAATGGGAGTTCCATTTTCAGTTTTTTGAGGAAACTCCACACTGTTCTCCACAGTGGTTGCACCAGACTACATTCCCACCAGCAGTGCAAGAGGGTTCCTTTTACTCCACAACCTGGCAAACACTTGTCGTTTGTTGATTTGTTGATGTTGGCTGTTCTGACTGGTGTGAGATGGTACTGCATTGTTGTTTTGATTTGCATCTCTCGGATAATTAGTGACTTTGAGCATGTTTTCATGTGCCTTTTGGCCTTCCTTCTGTCTTCTTTTGAAAATATTCTATTTAGGTCTATTGCCCATTTTTTAATTGGATCATTCATCTCCTTTTATTTAGTTGTATAAGCTGTCTGTAGATGTTAGAGATTAAACCTTTATCAGTGGTAACATTTGCAAATATGTTCTCCCACACAGTGGGCTTTCTTGTTGTTTTGTTGATGGTTTCTTTTGCTGTAAAAAAGCTTTTTATTTTGATGTAGTCCCATTTGATTATTTTCTCTTTAGCTTCCATTGCCTTAGGGGTAGTATCAGTGAAGAAGTTCTTTTGGCATATGTCTGAGATTTTGCTGCCGGTGGATGCTTCTATTATTTTTATGGTTTCCCGTCTGATGTTTAAGTCCTGTATCCATTTTGAGTTTATTTTTGTGTATGGTGTAAGTTGGTGATCTAGTTTCATTCTTTTGCATGTATCTGTCCAATTTTCCCAACATAATTTATTGAAGAGACTGTCTTGACTCCATTGTATATTCTTGCCTCCTTTGTCAAATATTAATTGAGCATAGTGATTTGGATTGATATCTGGGTTCTCAATTCGATTCCATTGATCTATATGTCTGTTCTTGTGCCAGTACCAGGCTGTTTTGAGAACAGTAGCTTTGTAATACAGTTTGAAGTCTGATATTGAGATTCCTCCTACTTTACTCTTCTTTCTCAGGATTGCTGTGGCTATTCGGGGTCTTTTATTGTTCCAAATGGACTTTTGGAGAGTTCTTTCTAGGTCAGTGAAATATGCCATTGGTATTTTAATGGGGAGTGCATTGAACCTATAGATTGCTTTAGGAAGTATGGACATTTTGATGATATTGATTCTACCAATCCATGAACATGGTATGTTCTTCCATCTCTTTACATCTTCCTCTATCTCTTTTTTCAGTGTCGTGTAGTTTTCCGCATATAGGTCCTTTACTTCCTTAGTTAAATTTATTCCTAGGTATCTTAATTTTTTTTGGTGCGATGGTAAATGTAATTGCTTTTTTAGTCTCTGTTTCTGTAATTTCACTGTTGGTGTATAGAAATGCCATGGATTTCTTGGCATTAATTTTGTATCCTGCTACATTGCCAAATTCATTTATTAAGTCAATTAGTTTTTTAATGGAGTCTTTTGGGTTTTTTATGTACAATATCATGTCATCTGCAAATAAGGATAACTTTACTTCTTCTTTTCTAATTTGGATGCCTTTTATTTCCTCCTCTTCTCTAATTGCAATGGCTAGTACTTCCAGTACTATGTCAAACA